TGAATAATTTCATATGTCAAGCCTTTGTGAGGGGATTCCAAAAAATGAAGTGGATGTTTTTAAGTGGATGAACTTATAACCAAGTCCAGTGGATTGTTTTGAATTTTTTACAGAATTATAACCACAAGTTTAGTTTGTTAATCAATAGTTAAAATAAGTGCTAAACTTTAAAAATGCTGAAATTAATAAAATATATTCTAGAGATAAAAGAATTTCTGCACATTTTCACTTTGAATTTATTACATTTCAGTCGCTCCTCAATATTTATTTTATTTTACTTTTTTTTTAAATCAAAATGGAGAAGGTAGAGTTTAAAAATCTAAAATTGTTAAGTCTGATTTAGCTGGCATGTATAGGTAACAATATTCTATATCTAAAAAACAATCTTATCTTTCAAAATGCATGCGCGGTGTAAGAAAACATTATAAACCAATTATTTTTTTATATTAAAGAATGTAAAATTACTTTCACTACTTTTCGGGGACAATATTTTTGTGATGGATCTTTATACAGCTACACATAAACACCGTAAAGTGGCATGTTCTAAAATATATTTTATTTCATTATCCTTCCAATTCTGTTGTTGCTCTGGTCCAATTAAGGAGCCGTGAAAGACACATGTTTTGCAGAGATGTAATTGGCATATTAAGATCCATGGAAGTATAACAGGCTGTTTGCAAATCGTAAAGTAAACAAACAGAAGAGCTGTTCAAAGGCTCAGAATTCAACATAATTGGAAATGAAATGGAGCCAGAGCTGAGTGTTTTTTCAGCCCTTTTTATCTGACATTACTGTTCCTAAAAAAAAATACGTCTGAACAACCTTTTTCTATTTTTTTCTGTTTGTTCTCTTGCTTGTTTTTTCCGGTACTGTTTTTTTTCCCTCTGTTATGTCCTTATCTTGTTTCTTTTTCTAATTAAGGTGTATTAAGATCCTATCTCTTTGTGTATAGGGTTGGAGCGATTAAAGCTGCAGACCTTTAATGGGAGTAACCTCTCTTTTGGTCTGTGTATAGAATAAATAAACAGCCAAGGAAGTCAGAGGCTCCATGTATGAAGTCATTGTTTCCATAGTGTCCAAATGAGTAGATGACCTTGTTTAGATACAAGGTAATTTTTAGTCATTATGACAGCCTGCTCCTGAGGTCCAGTCCTGGGAGGTCTGTGGACAGAGAACATGTCTCGCCACCATATCTGAAAATTGCTCAGTACGTTGGTGGTTTGTTGATGTCTTGTTCCCAAATGCCATTTCTGCCATTAAAAGGATAGTTTTACATTAACACCTTGAGCATTCAGGTACAGCTGTTATGTAGAAATAGACTGCCACATTAGTGAATAAGTGTGTCTGTGTGTGTGTATATATATATATATATATATATATA